CCGCCCCTGTAGGTTTAGCTCCGTAACCGGCCAGTAATCCGTGGATTACCAAAGGCCTCTGAACATATTAGCAAATAATAAGGAGCTGCGGAAGCAATAATACAAAATAGACAAGGTCCAATGAGCTGTGATAACGTACATGGGACAGAACATTTCAAAACTTATTTATATATGCATAAACATGCCAGTCTAGATACACAATATTTATAAGGTATTTACAGAATGTACTTCTCAAGACCTGACTTTATAGAGCATATTCAAAGACTAGCATTAATACAAAACAGCCATGGCTTTAGGCTTCATTCGGAACCTTCTCGGGAGGTACAGCAGTTGGCTGACAAAAACAAAATAGAACCTGGTCATGTGCCGGCTCACCTACATACATAATATAAACTGTGAGCGAAAGCCCAGTGAATAATAATAGAGTAAATGGTTTCAATGAATGAGTTCGTACAGATTCAGAAATCATAATTCAGTTCATATCAAAATCATAGTTTATTTAGATCATATATAGACATAAATCATAAATCATGATTAAGTTTACGTGATACGTCCATTAGCATTAACAGAACAAAACAGAACAGAACGTATACACGTGAGGTTACGAATAACCAGTTCCATAAAGGAACCACGAGCGTGAGACACAGCTCTTCGCTCGAGCGTAGGTCTCGTCGCTCGAGCGTGCGTCTGCGTGCACCAAAAACCTAAGAGCTTGCAATTTACGCTCGAGCCACCATTCTTTTGCTCGAGTGGAGCTCTGAACAAACGATGGTCGCTCGAGCGTGGAATCCTTCGTTCGAGTGAGGAAGCCAAATTCTGGAATTTCCAGATTTGCCTCCCAAGCTCAAACTAAGCATTCAACACCTCAAATCTCAACCCTTTGGGCCCATTTTCTGGAAAACACTTGTAAACTCATAGTATAAGATGTTTCAAAGATCAATTTGTAAAATCAAAGCCCAAAGGTGAGTCAATTAAACACAATTTCAAATAAAACTTCAAGAACAAAACTTAAATGTAACATGCATGAATTCTCATGACTTCTAATGCTCCAAAACATGATCCAAAGCAAGATTAAGCTCAAGAATAGGATGAATTCATGGACTATAACAAAAATATGGACATGCATGTGAGGATTCTATGAGAACAACCTCACAATTCAAGAATGTAGACATGCATGCATGATTTAAGCCTCACTTCAACATTTTCAACCAATTCTTGACTTTAAACTCTAATTTTCCATAAACCATGCAAGAAGTAATCTTAAATTCAAAATGGAGAAGGTGAAATCTCTATCTTAGGTCTTGAATCCTAAGTGTAGAAGCTCAAATCTTCCAAGTTTCCTTCAAATCTCCAAAGATCAAGCAAAATTCTTGTTGAATCAATTTTCTCCTACTCTTCTCTCACTCTCACAGTTTGGTCTGAGATATGGATGAAGAAATGATGCCTCAAGGGTGTGAATTAAGTCCCACACAAGTTTGTAAAGGTGGCCCACTAAGTGGCAAACATGTAAATGTTCAACTAATGTGATTTAGCATTATTTAATCCAATTTAATCATATCAAATCAAATTTCAACTAAATTTACCATAAAATCACATTAATTCTAATGAACACAAAACACTAATTAGTTTCGGATTCGGCCGCCGATAAGGCCTTCAATTTGCAGTTTAAAACATAAAACATGAACAAATCATTTTATGGCAAACAGATAAAAAACACAAAGATAATGCAATACATATGCAATTTAATTCCGGATTCCTTCTAAATTACTGTTAGGCATAGCCCAAAGGTTGCTTGCAATGGAAGAAAAAGGAGGGAGGAGCTCTCAAGGTATATATAGGCTCTCTAAATTTTGTTCAACCCTCAAAACAATCACCTAGCTTCATTTTTATAGAATTCGAGCTCAAAAGGTGATAAATATATTAAAAAATGGACAACTGTCGGCCTCCCGCCCAGAATAGTGTTTTTCGCTACCAAGGGCCGGCTGACCATTCATAGCCACGGCCATCCATCACTGATGCACGATCGCGCTTTGATGCCCTCCCTTGTTTTTTGGTTCAAACTCAGCTCAGGGTGGAAAAAGGTCCAAAAATGAAACTCACAGGTTTAAACAAGGTAAATGTTGAAGATTTGAGGTCATTTCGAGAGCCTGATTGAATTCGAATCGCTGTGAATTCAAAGCACACAGTTCAACTTTTATCATCGAGTGTATCGAACCTGTCATGACCCAAACCCGCCTCTGTAGGTTTAGCACCGTAACCGGCCAGTAATCCGTGGATTACCAAAGGCCTCTGAACAGATTAGCAAATAATAATGGGCTGCGGAAGCAATAATACAAAATAGACAAGGTCCAATGAGCTATGATAACGTACATGGGACAGAACATTTCAAAACTTATTTATATATACATAAACATGCCAGTCTAGATACACAATATTTACAAGGTATTTATAGAATGTACTTCTCAAGGCCTAACTTTACAGAGCATACACAAAGACTAGCATGAATACAAAATAGCCATGGCTTTAGGCTTCATTCGGAACCTCCTCGGGAGGCACAACAGTTGGCTGACAAAAACAAAACAGAAGGCTGTCAACTCTGGCCCTGGTCATGCGCCGGCTCACCTATATACATAATATAAACTGTAAGCGAAAGCCCAGTGAATAATAATAGAGTAAATGGTTTCAATGAATGAGTTCGTACAGATTCAGAAATCATAATTCAGTTCATATCAAAATCATAGTTTATCCATATCATATACAGACAGAAATCATAAGTCATGATTAAGTTTACGTGATACATCCATTAGCATTAACAGAACAGAACAGAGCAGAGCAGAACGTATACACGTGAGGTTACGAATAACCAGTTCCATAAAGGAACCTTGAGCGTGAGACACAGCTCTTTGCTCGAGCATATGTCTCGTCGTTCGAGCGTGCGTCTGCGTGCACCAAAAACCTGAGAGCTTGCAATTTACGCTCGAGCCACCATTCCTTTGCTCGAGCAAAGCTCTGAACAAACGATGGTTGCTCGAGCGTGGAATCCTTCGCTCGAGCGAGGAAGCCAAATTCTGGAATTTCCAGATTTGCCTCCCAAGCTCAAACCAAGCATTCAACACCTCAAATCTCAACCCTTTGGGCCTATTTTCTGGAAAACACTTGTAAACTCATAGTATAAGATGTTTCAAAGATCAATTTGTAAAATCAAAGCCCAAAGGTGAGTCAATTAAACACAATTTCAAACAAAACTTCAAGAACAAAACTTAAATGTAACATGCATGAATTCTCATGACTTCTAATGCTCCAAAACATGATCCAAAGCAAGATTAAGCTCAAGAATAGGATGAATTCATGGACTATAACAAAAATATGGACATGCATGCGAGGATTCTATGAGAACAACCTCACAATTCAAGAATGTAGACATGCATGCATGATTTAAGCCTCACTTTCAACATTTTCAACCAATTCTTGACTTTAAACTCTAATCTTCCATGAACCATGCAAGAATTAATCTTAAATTCAAAATGGAGAAGGTGAAATCTCTACCTTAAGTCTTGAATTCGAAGTGTAGAAGCTCAAATCTTCCAAGTTTCCTTCAAATCTCCAAAGATCAAGCAAAATTCTTGTTGAATCAATTTTCTCCTACTCTTCTCTCACTCTCACGGTTTGGTTTGAGATATGGATGAAGAAATGATGCCTCAAGGGTGTGAATTAAGTCCCACACAAGTTTGTAAAGGTGGCCCACTAAGTGGCAAACATGTAAATATTCAACTAATATGATTTAGCATTATTTAATCCAATTTAATCATACCAAATCAAATTTCAACTAAATTTACCATAAAATCACATTAATTCTAATTAATACAAAACACTAATCAGTTTCGGATTCGGCCACCGAGAAGGCCTTCAATTTGCAATTTAAAACATAAAACATAAACAGATCATTTTATGGCAAACAGATAAAAAACACAAAGATAATGCAATACATATGCAATTTAATTCCGGATTCCTTCTAAATTACTGTTAGGCATAAATAATCGTGGTTTAGTATTAATCGGAGGTCGGGGTTATTATAGAACCAAGCGCCTAAGTCTTGCGGGCGGTCAAAAATGGGGTGTCTACACATGGTCCTAGTCTCTCTAGATGGCATTAAAGTCGATCTCTCTTGCAAGCTAAAGTTTGAATGCTACTCCAACTATGAAGCTTTGATCAGTAGCTTTATGGTTAGCTTGCAATATGGGAGTCACACTCCTATGCATTAAAGGCAACTCAATGCTTGTCGTGAAGCAGACTAGAAATGATGAAGCAATCGAAGAGTCCACCTTGAACTTCTTTACAACAATAGTATGAAGGCTTATGGACAGATTTGGCTTGCCATGAAAAGACACAGGTAGCTGGGTCACTAAAACTGGCACCTTAAAATTTCACCAAGTACCCTTGTAAAAAGTAAAGAAATGTTTATAATTGTTTTGGCCCTTTCTCTTTCTCTCGTGTTTAATTTCCTCCCTCTTATTTTCCTTCTAGTCTTTATTCCTTTGTGACTTTTCTTATTCTTTTTACAAATTCACACTGATCTGATTCATGAACCCAAACATCCACCCCTTAACATCCAAAAATGAAGAGGGCTATCATCTGAATCATAGAAAAGTTGTACTACAATTATTAAAAGGAGGGGTGCCTTTATTTTATATATTTAAAAGCAAAGTAAATACAAAACTAGAAAACCAATAAAAATCACTTTTCCAGTTTCATTTAACCACCTAAAAGAGAGAAACGGGAAGGATACATACAGTAACACTACTATAACCTTGAAAGCTGTTTAACCTTTAAAAAAGGAAAAGAAAGAAGAGAAAAATAGGGAAGGATTCAAGTCATTGAAGAAACCAGCATTTTTAACAGAGCAAAGTGAGACACTCTCATCTCCTAAGTAAAACAAATCAACATTTGGTCGAAGAGCTTCTTGAACTTTGGACTCCAGCTAGTCGTCTCAATGCCTCACCTCACTCTTTTGCTCCAACTGATTTCGGCGACTCAACTTCTTTGGGTCTGCAACAAAGATAGATTACCCAACAGTTGATGTAAGGAAAATTGTTATGTTGTGTGACTGACTATAAAATAAAAAATATAATCTTATTTTATTTTTTATTAGTACAAAGTTTAAATAGATAAGAGTACACTGACCGAGTGTAAATGTTGGGCCGGGAAGGATTAGTCTGGGCTGGGTCGTGGTCCTGAATATGAGCGACCTTCCCGAGGAAAGACTTGTTGAGGAACTTGTTGGAGTCGACCATGATGTAATCGGGATCTTCCACCTCCATGATGGACTCCCTTTTCTTCTTGCTGATTTGAACTGCTGGTGAGTGGAACAGCTGCTGCTTGGCTGTGTGAACCCCTATTGCAAGTGCCATTACCAACCCAAACACCACCGCTATTGGTACAAAGTCCCCCTTTAAAGCTGCCATCCTGACAAAATCATCATCTCGATTTATGCATCAAACTTCCTCCATTTCATGACACTTACACTTACTCAGACACAGACACACATGTCCATTGCACAACTTCATATCATTAAATCATTAAATGGGTATATTGATATTATGGCTAGGTTTGGGAAGATGGTTTGTGGTTATTTTAGTCATAAAAGACAAAATAAGTTATTTTAGTTACAACAAACAAAACATCACATCAAATCCATAATAATTACACTCTTCTTTAATAAAAAAAGTCAAAAAAACTAAAAAGTCCTTTCCAAACCAAGCTTTTAGCCCAGACTAAAATAGCTAAAAAAATCCAAAACCCAACCCACTTCCCAAACGAAGCTATATGAAATATTAACCATTTTGGTTTATTTAATTGAGTAATACCATGTCCTTTGCACCACTTCAGATCATTTCAACCAAATTTCTCAATGATGATACATTTTTTATATGAGATATTTTTACGGCATGATTGTTAAAAAATAGGATTTTGAATTGAATTAAACATTTATTATTTCATGAATCATGATAATATGTGTGTGTGCGTGTGGGGAGAGAGAGAGAGAGAGATGTGTATATAATTAAATAAAACCTAGACTTAGAAGGAGGGTGGTGAGAGTGGATAGAATCGACAGTTGGATTGAAGTGTTTCATCTTGGGAGTGGTTGAAGATGCAAATAATAGAGCTCCTCCGGTTCCATTCCCCACCAGGATTGATCTCCAGTAATGGCGTTGTTGTAGATATGTGGCAGTAGCAATTATAATTATTAAAATGAAATTTAAACTTAAAACGTATTAATCAAATGATAGAATTTGTTATGTGATGATGATGATGGCAACAGACGAGATTGAAATATTGAAGAAGATGGAAAGTAAATACATAATGTAATGGTTTGTATAAGAATCAGATTCACAGGTACATGCTGCGTATGTAAGTAATAGGCTCTCACCGTCACCGCTGCTGCATTGAAGGTCATTTTTTTGTTTTTTCCTTGAGAAAGAAAGAAAAAGAAATAAATGGATATAAACAAAGTAAGGTTGGTTATGGGGCAGAGTGGTTGAGATTTAGATTGAAGTTTATATATAGCTATGAAGCACAGGTGCTTCAAAAATAGTGCCGTACGAGTACCAGGTACGTACCAGGTACGGATATGCGTACCGGTACGGCTGCACGTGTACCGGGTACGGCTGCAGGGGGTCCGGTACGTTTGGTACATTTGGGTACGCCGTGGGTACGGAGGGGTACGCCGTGGGTACGTTTCAGGTACGTCGGGCAAAAAATCAAATTGCAAAGAGATTTAGGGTAACAGAGCAATTTATTTATGTTCTTTTTTAAAAAAAAAAAACAAAAAATAGAGACCGGTACGGCTGCACGCGTACCGAGTACGGTCAAAGGGGGTCCGGTACGTTTGGTACATTTGGGTATGGCATGGGTACGCCGTGGGTACGGAGGGGTACGTTGTGGGTACGTTTTAGGTACGCCGGGCAAAAAATCAAATTGCAAAGAGATTCAGGGTAACGGAGCAATTTATTTATGTTCTTTTTTAAAAAAAACAAAAAATAGAGGGTTATTTTGTAATATTAAAAATATATACAAACCTGTTTTATCTGGGCATCGTAATCTTCAATCTTAGTTCTTCCTTTGAATCGTCATCCCTGCCAGCGAGTTCCTCGAGAGCGAGATGGAGAGAGCCGACTAAGGGCTTGGGGGTCTCGGAGGGTTTGGAGTAAAAGATTTTGAGGGTGAGGAGGGAGTCGTGGAAAGGGAGGAAAAGGAGGAGGGCGAAGTACGCGTTCCAGACGAGGTGGGTGGAGCTAGAGTCGTCGGACTTGGTGGTCAGACGGTGATCTGAATCCACCTAGAAGTTCGCATAGGGCTTCAGGTCATCGGACTTGTTGCCATTTCTGCTGGTAAGTTAGGTTGATTTGTTGTGAGAGAGAGAGAGCGAGAGAGAGAATGCTGCAATTGTCTTCGTTGGAAAGGGAAACTGGTATGGGAATTGGTAAAGGTCACCTTTTATTTACACCCTCTCTCTCTCTATACAATATAACATAATTATACACCAACTTATCCTTTTGAAGGGAAAAAAAAATTATAAAAAAATAATAATAATTTAGAATTTTATTTTAATGATAAATTAAACTTTAAACTTTTAATTATTTTAATTTTAATTTTTAAAATGATATAAATTATGACCATTTTTAGAGTTCTCTTTTTAGTTTTGATATTAAATTTTAATTTGTAGGTTGGATTTTTAACCACAATTATAAAAATAAAAATTATCGGCATACTGCAGCCGTACCCGTATCATACTTTTTTTGAGTTTTGACGTATCGACGTACCCGTACTCGTACTCGTACCCGCACCCATGCTTCATAGATATATAGAGAGTAGTAGTAGATAGGGTCAGAGGATGAGAGAGATTTATGGACTTACACACAAAACTGGTGAATTGCACACACCCTCACCCCATCCTTGTTTGGGCCATTTCCCAATATAAGTCATTTTTGTATTGTATTTCCAAAACTAGGCCAACTTCTGACGGAATTCCAAAACTAAGCTAAAGCGCCATTACTATTCGCGCTTTTACTGTTAGGAGGCAAAAAGTTGATGAATAGTGAAATCGCTATTTGAAATCGCGATTTTAATTAAGAAAACGCTGTTCCAAATCGCGCTTTTAACATAAAAAAAATTTCTGAAGAAAACGCTATTTAAAATAGCGCTTTTACTGTGCATATAATAATTTTTTTTTTTTTTTTTTTTTTTAAAAA